AACTTTGCTAGAATTCATCCGACTCCAGACTTTTAATCGAAGCGGGTTCCAGCAAGTTCAGTTAGATATGCAGTTCCTTAGGACTCCTCTGAAGGAAATTGCAGATGATGAAGCAGCTATTGACTTTTTGCTTGATGAGGTAACTCCTTGCAATTTTACTGGTTTGCCATAGTAACTTCTTTGATTAGCACTTGATTACTAGTTTCAGTTAGCTTCATTTTTTACGGCGCAACGCAACGACCCACAAATCTTTTTTGTGCAGGTGATAGTTGCAGCATCAGAGCGTTGTCTGGATGCCATTCCCTTGGAGCCTCCCATCTTAGACAAACTCATAAAAGCAAAATTGGCAAAGGCAAAAGATCAGAATCCAATGTCTCCATGAACAAGCCAAAATGGAAATAGACTGCATCACCATCGCCTAATGGTATTTCTATAAATAGAGCAACTGATCTGACTATGAAAATCAAAGATTCATAACCATGTTGCGTTCTCAATTTTAAACCACCGATTCATTCTTGTGAGTAGGCAATGGTTTCTGTTGGTGAGTACAAATTTAGGAAATTGTGTTCCAATCATGGCCATGTGGAATTTGATGAGCTCCATTGTTTCAGGGGTCTAGGAGGTTGTTTTCATATAATGGATGTGCAGTTCTGTTCTACTGTTGCATTGCATTCATCTTGTTTGATGAACCTTTTAGCTTTGGGGATGCACCTGTAAGAATTTATGTTTCAGAATTTCTTGTACCATATGTTACTAACAGATTTCTTGGCCCCCTCAGTAGTTATCATACAATGGAGTTGCTGCTTTATAAAGTATTTTGCTTTGGGAAACAAATCTGACCCTTTTTAAATTTTTCACTGATTAAAATTTATGTTTAGTTGTGTTCATTAAAGTAGAATCCACATGAATGTTCAATCATTTGCGAGATCCCACATCGATTAGAGAGGAGAACGAGTGTCAGTGAGGATGTTGGACCCTAAATAAGGTAGATTGTAAGATCACACATCATTTGAGAAGAAGGATTAAACATTCTTTATAATCAGGGTGTGGAAATCTTTTTCTAATAGACATGTATTAAGAATCTTGAGGGAAAACTTGAAAGTGAAAACTAAAAAAGGACAATTTCTGCAGTTACATTTATAGATATTGTTGAATAAAAAAAGAAAAATAAATTGTCATAAATCATATGTATGGTACAAAATTGACAAGTATTTTAAAGTTTGAGCGTAGTTTATTGAAACTTGAAACGAGTGGTTGAATACAAGATAAAAATATTTCACAATCTTTAATATAGACTTGAGATGCTTCTCTTATTTCCAAAACGTAAAATTCGATTAGGACACTATCTTAAATAGTATTTAATATGCTTAGTTTGTTTCTCATGGTTTCGTATAAATTAATTAATTGATGTTAATTAATTATTTAATATATTTAGACATATATTAAATAATATTTCATATCCATACCCATTATATATGAGATCCAAACAGGTCTTAACACAAATTTCTCAATATGTTATAAATAAATCAATATCACGAATATTTTTGTAAATAAGAAACTATAAAAATTATTAGATATCAATTAATCATTGACATTGATATCAAATCTCCAATTTAATGATATATAAGCATATTGGTATATTTCAATTATCTCTTCTAGAGATGGGAACTATGTAGAATCATTTTTAAAGGTTAAAAATTAAATCTAGGATCATCAGAATATTTACTCCAAACCAGTGTGTTTTACCTGAAAATAGTTTATTCAAATATCGGGAAGAAAATTATCAGCAAGGTCTCATTTAAATATAAGCTCATTATTTTAATATTTTATGGAAATGGTATCAATGGTTGTAGTTAAGTGATGAGAATTGCACATTGTGGCTGTGGAGATTTGGGCTCAAATCCCAGTAGGCACATTTAATTTTTGTCTTAGAACACCCAACTCCTTTTAAAATTTTGGGGTCCGGTTATTCTTTTTGTTTCGGATATTTATTTCGGTGTGTTTCGGTCAAAGGAATCAAAATCAACTGAAATCCTTATTCAAAATTGGAAGCATTGGGGATGAGTTTTCTCCCGCGAAACAACATTATTCTATCGATAAGGAAATTAAAAAGTACACAAAGGGTTTGAAAGAGTGTAAACAAACTGCCACCACCACCTAAAGCTGGCCTTCTAGATGAAGAGGATGTGGCGGCATGCTATAATAATATTCTTGCGTTTCCTACAAGTTGGACATGAGTAATTGTGGTTGCATGGAGTTGGGAGAAGAGTGGGTGGTCAAAATACACGTTTTTTGACCTTTAAATCCCCACTTTTTGTGTCTTCCTCCCTTGGTCCCTCCATGGACCGCGAAGACAGCGATGGCAATTGAAATATACCCACCCCAATTGTGCATCTACGCCCAACCACCACACTGACGTCGACTCATAATGCTCTGGCGGCACCACGTAGAATCAAACATTCACATACTACTTTAATCACAATATGTTTGATTCAATGAATAACTGTCCTACATAATGTTCAACTTTTAACGAATCGAGTTTATTGACTCATAGACGAGAACCATTTGCATGAATCACCAGCGAACTACACACGAAACCCAAAAATCTAGGGATCCAGCAGACCCTAGCCAACACTTATGGACCCATGGACAATGATTTCTGATATTACCCACGATCCGAGATGAAAAATATCCAATGAACCTACATCTCCTTGTTGGTTTTGATCCTTGATCTAAGTATGTCAACCAAATAATTGAAGTAAAAATTTTATCCCGTTAATAACCACCGACAATTCTATTAAGTAAAGCACTAACCATTTTCCTAAACTTGCTCCAATTACTAACAATATCGTGAAGTTGATCTACAACCTGTTCTTTCCCGCAAGGTCAAGCGTCTTCTTCCTTCTTTCTTTCACTATACTATGTTTATGGTCTCGTTGCTGGGCTCCTCTCGCTCCCGGTCTCATTGCTGGGCTCCTCTGCCTACTTACTCCTCTCCTTCACTCAATCACTTTCAGAACTGTAAACATTCTACTCAAGACTGAACCGAACCCCTAACCTTTTCCTGATTTCCGAGGTAAGTCAAGCTAAATTCATTCAATCTTTTAGCTCTACAACTCGGTAAAGTGTCTTTCTTCGCCCCTGCCCCTGAACCTCTCCTATCAGCTTCTCTAAGGAACAGAATAGCGCACCAACCCACTCTACTTACGAACGGATTCTCTGAAAAACACTAATAAAGTTCCCTCGGTCCTCCCTCTCCCTATCGATTTCGTAGCTTCGTTCCTTTTCTTCCTATTTATTCACTGTAACCGAAGCAAGACTCAACTCCTTATTTTATTCATTAGACCGATTGAACTCGTAAACTATCAGCTTTTCTGAGGGGAGGAAGAGCGGACAACCCATTCTGCTCGTAAACTACCAGCTTCTCTCTGGACCCTACCCCTCTATTCCCTGAACTTTACCGTTCAAGAATCAAGGGAGAATCAGATATTCCTCTCTTTCTTTACATGCGAGTCAATGAATATTCAATCCTGTAGAATCAACTGAAAGAGAAGCAAACTCATGAACCTGAACCTTCTTTCTTTCACTCTCTTACAAGGTAAGTAAAGCGGCTGGATGAGAAAGTGTTTCAAGACTCCTTATTAATGAGAGTGAACTCCGTAACCAGTAAGTAAGAAAACGAGAAAGGTCAGTGGTTGCCACTTTGCGCTCCTTCACCTATCTGTCTCATTGCTTCTTTCTTGCTTGCTTTCACTCTTGAACCTGCCTTCCCTGATTGAACCTATTGTATTGATTCTTTCTCCTTCACCTATTCTATTGATCTCCCGGCTGAGATTACCTGATTTTCTGGGTCTCACAAGCACTAAGCCAGTTCTTTGCTCAGATTAAGTTTCAGATAAAGAAGATGAGAGTAACCCTGGAACTTCTTTCACTGACTTGTAAGAAAAGAAGAAGAAAGAAACCTTTTCCTCGGCTTGGCTCCTGAACCTGTCGGTCTGACTGCTTGCTTCGCTGCTGAACCGTAACCTATTCTGGCCCACGACATCTGAGGATGTCTCAATATCCTAAATTAAAAATATTTATCGACATATTCTGATGTTTGAGTGAAACTCCTCAAATTTTCTTGTCTAAATTAGAGAGGTTACGGTTGGTATTAGATCCTTAGGTTTTTAGGTCTGGTAAAAAAGTCTATGATGTAGGCTCAACATACTTCCATAGTCCTCCAGCAAACAAACCGTCACTGTTAAGTATGCTTTTAAAGATAATAACGGGTATAGTTAAATGATGCATGTGGTAGATTAATTATGATAATGTAAAGTTTGGCATGTTATGTCGATTATGTTAATATGATTATGATAATGCATAGTTGTCATGGTGTGTTTGTTTATTTATGTGGTTGAGTAGAGGAGTGTGTAATGTATGTAAGTTGAGTGTTATAGACTTAGTACATTATGTGTTGTATATAGATTATGTCACTCAGAGGTCGAGGATGAGGGCATAAGAACGACCCTCTACTAGAGGTAGAGGCAGGTATAGAGGAAGTCTGAGGAAGTCTGGTCTACAAGGGATTGGTGAATCGACCTAACGAAATGGTGCCACTCCCACTGCCAGCGACTCCTCAAGCCACACAAGACCTCATAACTGCCCTAATGTGGGAATCACTACAAGCGGTTATGCAAACGGTTGGAACAACGCAAGTGGCTAACGCTTCATCATCAACAAGAGAGGTGAGATACGTGCGAGACTTCAGGAGGGGTGACCCTTATATCTTTAGTGACACAGTTGTGATTGACGTCAATAGAGATAGTGTTCGGGTTGATGAATTGCCCAAATGATCAGAATTTACAATGTATAGCGTTCATGCTGTGAGGGACACAAAGTTACCGTGGGAGTCAACCAGCGAAATTCTCATCCTAGCCTCATTTATTTAATGGAAAAAAATGAAAAAACTGAAATCAAACAAATTACATTTATACGGACAAAGTCCACTTGAAAAATCGCTCAATTTCCTTGTTGACGATCTCGTTGTCAAGGAAGAACAATTAGTCATTGTCATCATTTGGAGAGTGTCGTGCTAATCGGTCTACAACGACTCCATTGAACAAATTACATTTTGTTCAGTATTTTATTGAAGCCTATACTCATGGCTGCTTGGCCACGATATGGATTCTTGCCTCGCACCGCTCGTGGCCTTTAATTTACTCTTTTATCTCTTCAGGTCTGCCGCTGCCTCCGATTCCTTAACGCCTCAAAACCCATATCTCAGAGATGGCAACAGTCTGGTCTCCAGTAATGGATTATTCGAATTGGGTTTTTTCAGTCCTGGCCTGCCCAGCAACCGTTACTTGGGAATCTGGTACAAGGATCGCCGAGGTCCGACCGCCGCTTGGGTCGCCAACAGGGGAACCCCTATTAATGACTCGTCTGGTGTACTGGCGATGAACATTACAACAGGTAATCTCACACTCTACAGCCACAATTCCTCCATAATTGCTTGGTCCGCAAGGTTACTGAGAAAAGTCCCCAATGGGGTACTCCAACTATTGGACACTGGAAATCTTGTGCTGCGGAATACCGACGATGAAAACCCCCAAAACTACTCCTGGCAAAGCTTTGATTACCCTTCTGACACCCTCTTGCCTGGAATGAAGCTGGGTTGGGACTTGAAACATAACATAGAAAGAAGATTAGACGCTTGGAGGAATCCCAATGACCCATCTCCTGGGGAATTCAATTGGAGGATGGAGCTTCATGCATATCCCGAGACCGTCATGTCCAAAGGTTCCCGGAAATACGTCAGGCATGGCCCATGGAATGGTGTGAGACTCTCTAGTAGACCCATAGCCGCAACCCCACTTCTGAATTTCAATTTTGTTGCAAATCAGGATGAGGTTTACTATCAATACTCTCTTATAAACAAGTCTCATACAGTGATGTTGGTGATGAACCAATCCGATTACAAGCGCACCATGTATTTGTGGTCTGTATCTGAGAGACGGTGGAGAGTTTACTCTTCATTACCAAGAGATACATGTGACAATTATGCTATGTGTGGTCCTTTTGGATATTGTGATATAAGGGTCCCTCCTTTTTGTAAATGTCTTGAAGGGTTTAAGCCAAAATCACCTGACAGTTGGAAGGCAGGCGAATTCGCCGATGGTTGTGAACGAAACAAAGTGATGAATTGTGGTGATGAAATTGGGTTTTCAAAGCTCAACCGTATGAAATTACCAGACACAACGCATACTTGGGTCAATAGAAGCATGAACCTTGAAGAGTGCAAGCAAACATGCTTGAGAAATTGTTCTTGTATGGCTTATTCAAATACAGATATCAGTCACGGTGGCAGTGGCTGTGCTTTGTGGATTGGTGATCTAATTGACTTGAAATTGATCCCGGAGGCAGGAGGACAGGATTTATATGTCAGAATGCTAGCATCTGAATTAGGTATAATCTTATGTTAAATTTCAAGTGCTTCGAACGTGATTGTTATGCTAATTGTTTAACTTTTGCTTTGACGGGGAAAAGTCAAGCTTAGGGAGTCACACAAAACAGAGAGATTCAATCTTACGGTGAAGATTTCTTTGGCTGTGGTTGCCGCCGGTAGTTTGGCTATACTTTTCATATGCATATACATGTGCAAAAAGAGATCAACCATCAAAGGTAATTGTTTCTCAAACCATCATTGCATAACAAATGCTGTCATTTTAGCTTTACTATCAGCCTAAAATACTCTTATTTCAATGGATATTGAAGAACTGAAAAACGAGGAAATAATCAAACATATAAGGTTACTTTTTTATGCCCAAATCCCTATTCATCATAATTGTTTTGCATCATTTGTAATGATCTTTACATGAACTTCCAACAAGCATAGTTTCATTTTGCCAGCTTCAGTAGACTGAAACCATCTTAATTCAATCAATGTTACTCAATATAAATGTCAACATTGACAAAAGCTTAAAATTGCAGATGATCATGAGAACATAGAAGCTCAAGACCTGGAGCTTCCCTTGTTTGATCTATCCTTGATAAATAGCGCCACAGATAACTTCTCGGTCAGTAATAAGCTAGGAGAAGGTGGCTTTGGGCCAGTTTATAAGGTATTTCTCTCAATGTTAACTCATTTGACCTGCACTTTTTGTTCTTTTCAAATCAGAAATATATAGAAACATTTGAATTTCCAGGGTAAGCTTACAAATGGACAAGAGATTGCAGTAAAGAGACTTTCACAGAGTTCTGGACAGGGAATGGATGAGTTTAAGAACGAAGTAATCCTGTTCGCAAAACTTCAACATCGAAATCTTGTAAAACTTCTTGGTTGCTGCATCGAAGGAGACGAGAAAATGCTAGTTTATGAGTTTATGCCAAACAAAAGTTTGGACTTCTTTATATTTGGTAAGAATGCTTTCAAATTTCAATCTTTAAGTTTAACATTATTCATCTTGTTGTGTATCTTTCACTTTTACTAGACTAAATAAATTTGAAATTGACAGATAAAACACAACGTGAATTATTAGACTGGTCACAACGATACCATATTATTTGTGGCATTGCTAGAGGACTCATGTATCTTCATCAAGATTCTAGATTGAGGATTATACATAGAGATTTAAAACCAAGTAATGTTTTACTTGATATGGATATGAATCCAAAAATCTCTGATTTCGGTCTGGCTAAAACATGCGGTGAAGATCAAACCGAAGGAGAAACGAGAAGAGTGGTTGGAACTTAGTAAGAGATCCTTAATATTTCCTCGAACATCTTGTTTTCTGCTTTACCAAATCCGATTTTTTAAAGTTTGTATATTCCACAGTGGATATATGGCACCGGAATATGCATTTGATGGACAATTCTCGGTAAAATCTGATGCATTTAGCTATGGCATTTTGTTGTTGGAGATCATTAGTGGAAAAAGAAGTAGAGGTTTCTCTAACTTGAATGACCAAAATCTTGTTGCATATGTAAGTACCAAGGATTAATTGTTCATTACCATTCTTCCATTGAAATGCTTTGATTGAGAAAATGTGTCTTGTTCATTTCTGGTATATGATAGGCATGGCGACTGTGGAAAGAAGGAAATATTGAAGAATTAATCGACGATGCCATTCGAGACACGTGCATCCTTTCGGGGGTATTCAGATGCGTCAATATCAGTTTGTTGTGTGTTCAACAAGAGCCTAACGATCGACCCACAATGTCATCAGTGGTTATGATGTTAGGGTGTGAAATTCCGTTGTTGCAACCGAAGCCACCAGGATTTTTCGTAGAAAATGAAGACATTGCAATGAAAAGTGTGTCAAGTAAAGATGAATCAATTTCAACGAATGAATTGACTATTACGCTTCCAGATCCGAGGTAAGAACAATGAAGGTTTAGTTTAGTTCAAGCCTAAGAACTTTGCTTGATCAGTATTAGCTTGAATGCATGAACACTAAAGCTTGGAAAAATTTATATATTTTGTTCATTTGGAGTGGGACCTAAAATCGTAGCCTTGGGCTCCAGTTATTTTTGTATGTTTGAGATGTATGTCACTTTTATACCCCTAGTTTTATTGTATCACTTTCGTATACTAACAGTCTTCATACTAATTTCGTAATCTATAGGTGGTATCAGCTTCATATGCACCAACTCTATACTAAATGCTTTAATATAGGACCCGGAAGAATCATAGATAGAAGAAAATGTGAATATTTCTTTTTTTTTATGTCTATAGGAATCATACAAATACATGAGATTCTACGAGTAAAAATCATCTATTTTAATACATGATGCATCCTTAATAATCATTTCTGATATGAATCCAACCACTCGTCAATTGTATGTATTCAAAGGAGCAATTACAAGATAATGCAAAGAAGACTAAGTATCAAATAAAAAAAGAATTGAGTGGCAATAAAATATCATTTGACATTCGAAAGTGATTCGAATACATTTTGTTTTTGGTAGTTGAATTACATTTAAGATTATTTATGTTATGTCTTATTTTCTTTTATTTGTATTTAATAGCTTTTATTGTTAGATTGTAATTGGTAGATGACTTACCATTCTGGTTGAATTATCTTTTTGGTCTATTTAAAGACACATAATATTCAATTTTGAAATCACGGTGGAATACAAAAACTTTGTTTGAAACCCTTTGGTTATTATGTTTCTTTCCGCTTTTAGGTTTGATGTTAAAATTGATTCATTGGATTGGTCATGATCAAACTAATTTTGGAGTGAGTCGTCTTGGGATCTAAGAGTTCTAAGAGTTGTTCATCTTCTAACCAGCTCTTGGTTGGAATCAATTCGTTAAGTTAGCTTTCTTTACGACTAGAAGGACCTCTAACTTTGCAAAAATCCATCATTGTTGGTGCTTATCATTTGGTATCTAGGAAGTATGAGCCTAGTTTTTACTACTATTTGAGCATCTAGGGAGGTCTCGATATTCAAAGCAATTCTTTGATCTAAATCTTACCCATAAGGCTCGGTATAGGTTGTCCAACCTTTCTATTCTTTGACTTAGGTATCTTGTTTTATTTACACAATGAATGACCGATGTTTTGAGTTAAGGCGCTACCTCATAAAATTCTGATGGGATAGTATGGTGTTTGATAATCTCAACATCACCTGTAAAAGATTAGCTAGCAAACCATCCCACAAGGCTTTATGTCGCCCAAGTTTGGGGGAGGGGGAGCGACCTCCGTGTGTTGAGCTACTAGTTCAACCTACGTTGTCCCATGACCCCTCTCAAGAACGAGTTTACAACTTAATGACCCCATTCAGGAAACCTCTGGCCATTTCCCATGGTTGGGGCACCCATAACATGAATAGTCAATCCTTCTCTAGCATAGAGAAAAGTATTTAACACAAAATTCATCTCAAAATCTCATCTTAGGGCATTTTGGTAAATTCTTACATTATAACTAGCTTACCGGTCTAATTTGCCCAACTCAAATTCTAGTCATGCATAATTCCTTTGAGTAAAGCATAAAGACAACATGCATATCGGAATCTCATCTTAAGGGCATAACATTAATTTTTCGTATCATATATACAACGCATTCTCATCATAAATGACCCTTTTAAAATCCTAAACATGCATATTCTAACTACCTAAGATAAGAGTTGCTTTCATGCTAGCACATCCTAGTGATCCCTCCAAATAATGCTAGAAAATGTCTAAATAGCTAGCTTTTCTTCATAGTAGGAGCTCTAAAATTTCTGACATTTCTATGGTAAATCTTAATTCAAGTAAGATTAGGGTTAGTATCAAAATCAAACCAAATAACAGTTGAAAGAAGGTCAAACGGGATAAAAAGATGGATGCACATGCTCTCACACGCTGCCACGTGCAGTTGGAATATCTCCCACGAGCAAGTACAAATGCAAGTACATCATGCATTAGAGCAATAACTAAAAAATTACACCGTTGATTAAACAAAATATGATATATAAAGTATATCACTTAAACTATTGATGTAGTTAATATTTTGTATATGGTTAATTTTATATTGGCAATCACTTATGTAATATACTAAAGTATAAGATCTATCACATATACATCTAATTTACCATCAAAACTAAAATAAAATAAATGAGAAAATAATATAACGTGAAAGTGTAAATAAATAAATAAAATAAATCGAGTCAATACAGCTCTCAATAATAATAAAAAAACATTAAATAAGGTTCCAATAAATTAGTAAACAAAATACGACATAGTACTCTTGAAATGATCAAAGCACGTAATTGGAAAGAGATGAACAAAATTGTATTTTTCAAGTCGTCAAATTTGACATTTAACAATAGTGTGATATGCGATCGTTAACTCTACGATGAAGTGAAACATTTAAGTTCGAGCATATATTAATTAAAAAATTTATGATAGGGAGAGAGTAACTTTGGTATATAAGTTATATTAACTATAGAGTAAATGAGTTAATTTATGTTAGATTCAAAGTTGTTGGAGTATTTGTTGTGTGAATTAGCCGAGAATTCATAGAAAAAGTGGAGGGTGAATTGATATATTGGCCTGTCCATTCCCACTTGTAATAATGCCCACAATTCAAGTGTTGAGGGTACACGGGCCCACAGCTGCCGCCACAACGACCAAATCTACTCACAGGAGCCGTTCAATTTCCTCCTTGTTGATGTCCCCATTGTCAAGGCCGAAGAAAAATCAGTCAGCCATCCTCAACCTCAGTCGGATAATGCCGTCTGGTATGCAACCACTCCCTTTAACCCATAACACCCTCTTCTTTTTCTTCTTCTTCTTCATAGTCGCTCCATCGATATGGGCTCTTTATCTCCACCATTCCTGGTCTTTAACTTGGTCTTTTATCTCTTCACCTCTGCCGTTGCCACTGATTCCTTGACTGCTCAAAACCCATATCTCAGAGATGGGTGTACTCTGGTCTCCAGAAATGGAGTCTTCGAATTGGGTTTCTTCACTCCTGGTGTTTCGGGCCATCGCTATTTGGGAATTTGGTTTAAGAATCGCCGAGGTCCGACCTCCGTTTGGGTGGCGAACAGGAAAGCCCCAATTAATGATTCATCTGGTGTACTGGTGATGAATCTTACAACAGGTAATCTGGCGCTCAATACCCACAATTCCACCGCCGTTGTTTGGTCCGCAAGGTTACTGAGAAAAGTCCCCAATGGGGTACTCCAACTATTGGACACTGGAAATCTTGTGCTGCGGAATACCGACGATGAAAATCCCCAAAATTACTCCTGGCAAAGCTTTGTTTCAAATAAGGATGAAGATTACTACCAATATGCTGTTGTAAATAAGTCTCATACAGTGATGGTGGTGATGAACCAATCCGATTACAGCCGCGCCATGTATTTGTGGTCTGCAGCTGAGAGTCGGTGGACAGTTCACACTTCATCACCAAGAGATTTCTGTGACAATTATGCCATGTGTGGCCCCTTTGGATATTGTGATGTAACGGTAACTCCATCTTGTATATGTATTGAAGGGTTTAAGGCAAAATCACCTGATAGTTGGAAGGCAGGGGAATTTGCGGATGGTTGTGAACGAATCAAAGTGATGAATTGTGGTGATGAAGTTGGGTTTGCACCGCTCAACCAGATGAAATTACCAGACACAACGCATGCTTGGGTGAACAAAAGCATGAATCTTGAAGAGTGCAAGCAACAATGCTTGAGAAATTGTTCTTGTATGGCTTATGCTAATACAAATATCAGTGGCGGTGGCAGTGGCAGTGGCTGTGGCCTGTGGATTGGTGATCTAATTGACTTGAAGTTGATCCCGGATGCAGGGCAGGATTTATATATCAGAAGGCTAGCATCGGATTTAGGTAAACATTGATTCAAAAAATAAACATTCAATTCAATCTAATATGCTAATTGTTTTACTTTTTCTTCGATGTGGAAAAGTCAAGCTTAGGGAGCCACGCAAAACTGGTGGATTGAATCCTAAGGTGAAGATTGCTTTGGTTGTGATTGCTGCCGGCTTAGGTTTGGCTATCATCTTCATATGCTTATACATTTTCAAAAAGAGATCAACCTTCAAAGGTAATTATTTCTCAAACCTTCATTGTATAATGCATTCTGCTATTTTAATTTTAATATCACCCGAAAATACTCTTACTTCAATGACTATTGATGAATGGAAGAACTAAGAAACGATCAAACTGTTGAGGATTGTTGGAGGGAGCCCCACGTTGGCTAATTTAGGGAATGATTATAAGTTTATAAGTAAGGAATACATCTCAATTGGTACGAGGTCTTTTGAGGAAGCCCAAAACAAAGTCATGAGAGCTTATGCTCAAAGTGGATAATATCATACCATTGTGGAGAGTCATGATTCCTAACATGGTATTAGAGTTATGCCCTTAACTTAACCATGTTAATAGAATCCTTAAATGTCGAACAAAGAAGTTGTGAGCCTCGAAGGTGTAGTCAAAAGTGACTCAAGTGTCGAACAAAAGGTGTACTTTGTTCGGGGGCTCCTATAGGACTCAGGAGAGGCTCTTTAGTGTACTTTGTTCAAGGTGAGAATTGTTGGGAGGGAGTCTCGCATTGGTTAATTTAGGGAATGAATCATGAGAGCTTATGCTCAAAGTGGACAATATCATACTATTGTAGAGAATTATGATTCCTAACACAAACATCTACACAAAAAGACGTGGTTGCGTTACTTTTTTTCATTAAGATCATTCCACTGAAACCATCTTAATTCAGTCAATGTTACTCAATATAAATGTCAACATTGACAAAGCCTTAAAATTGCAGATGATCATGAGAAAATAGAAGGTGAAGACCTGGAGCTTCCCTTGTTTGATCTATCTTTGATAAATAGCGCCACAGATAACTTCTCCCTTAGTAATAAGCTTGGAGAAGGTGGCTTTGGGCCAGTTTATAAGGTATTTCTCTCAATGTTAACTCATTTGACCTGCACTTTTTGTTCTTTTCAAACCAGAAATATATAGAAAAACATTTGAATTTCTAGGGTAAGCTTGCAAATGGACAAGAGATTGCAGTAAAGAGACTTTCACAGAGTTCTGGACAGGGAGTGAATGAGTTTAAGAACGAAGTAATCCTTATTGCAAAACTTCAACATCGAAATCTTGTAAAGCTTCTTGGTTGCTGCATTCAAGGAGACGAGAAAATGCTAGTTTATGAGTATATGCCAAACAGAAGTTTGGACTTCTTTATATTTGGTAAGAACGCTTTCAAATTTCAATTTTTTTGTTTCATCGTATCGTATCTCGACTTTCACTAGACATAAAATTGAAATTTACAGATCAAACACAACGTCAATTATTAGTCTGGCCACAACGATACCATATTATTTGTGGCGTTGCTAGAGGACTCATGTATCTTCATCAAGATTCTAGATTGAGGATTATACATAGAGATTTAAAGCCAAGTAATGTTTTACTTGATATGGATATGAATCCAAAAATCTCTGATTTCGGACTGGCTAAAACTTGCGGTGAAGATCAAACCGAAGGACGAACGAAAAGAGTCGTTGGAACTTAGTAAGAGATCCTCGATATTTCCTCAAACATTTTCTGCTTTTTCGAATTCAAGCTTTTAAAATTTATGTATTCCACAGCGGATATATGGCGCCTGAATACGCTTTTGATGGACAATTCTCGGTAAAATCGGATGCATTTAGCTATGGCATTTTGTTGTTGGAGATCATTAGTGGAAAAAAAAGCAGAGGTTTCTGCCACTTGAATGCCCAAAATCTTATTGCATATGTAAGTTCCAAGGTTGAATTGTTTACCATACTTCTCTTCAAGTTCTTTGATTGGGAAAATGTATGTTCTTCATTTCTTGTATGGTAGGCATGGCGTTTGTGGAAAGAAGGGAATCCCGAAGAGTTGATCGACGAAGCCATTCGAGAAACGTGCATCATTTCGGAGGTATTGAGATGTATCAATATCAGTTTGTTGTGTATTCAACAACGTCCTAACGATCGACCGACAATGTCATCAGTCGTTATGATGTTAGGGTGTGAAATTTGTTTGTCGCAACCGAAACAACCTGGCTTTTTTGTACAAAATGAAGCTATGGGAATGAAAGGTGACTCGAGTAAAGAAAAATCAACTTCAGCTAATCAAATTTCTATTTCATTCCCAGATCCAAGGTAAGTTCTTGATCAATATTTGCGAACCTTGCTTGATCCAAGGCTAGAGTTTGTTTCTATTTTATGGAAAAGTTCCTTTGATTTTCCCTTAAAATATTTATTGTGTAAGTAATAGGTGATATTTTCTGATATTTAAAAATTGATTGGATATATTGTTTCAAAGTATAATTGGCATAAACGGTTTTCCGACCCTCTGACATGCATCTATTGACAATCATAACATATTTCACGCTCAACATGCTCGATACAAGGGATAAAAATCAACTAGGGTATGTTGGAAAGCTCATAAACATGTTAAGACTATCAAAGTTCTCAAACATGCAAGCGAAAACTATAAATTTGTAAACTATGCTAAACTGTAAACTATACACGTTTTTAGGATTAGCTATCATGATACTAGGTCAATTAGGTTTCTAGATATGATTTATAATCATATGCTTCGTGTCCTAATCGACTTCTATAAGTATTACTTAATACTTGATCCATGTGGTTACTTATTTACTCGTGCATGTTTGAGCTCTCGGTTCGAAGTTGTTTTCCTTCCAATTTTTTAGGATAGGCGGTAAATTGTGTCTAGTTTCTTGAGCAATAAACAATCTTATGAGAATCCATATTTACACGGATGAACCGACCCAAACAATGAGCAAAGATCATCAAATTCAGTGTTTTACCTCTTAGCCCGTGTTCGAGATTACTTTTGTTGACCTTACAGTAGCTATTTCTTCCTCAATTTCCTTAGGTAGCTTCCAAATTAAGTCTATTTTCTAGAAGCATAAAAATCATTGTGAGAATTAGTCTAAAAACGAGTGAGTAATGGTAGTTTAGTGTAGTTGTTTACGTATTCGACTGCTTGGAAATCAGTTTTCATGAGCTTTTTGAAGCTAGTTCTTTCTCAGTAGGCCTCAAATTGAATCTATTTTCTGGAACATAAAAAATCACAATGAGAATTGGTCTAAAATAGGTTAATCGATCTAAACATGGCTCATGGTAAGAAAAACCAAAACTTACCCTTAATGTCAAATGACAATGGTTGACTCTTCTAAAACTCGATGATTTTAGCGTGATTTAAGGACGATGTTCTCTCGATTCCTCCATAAAAATTGTAGTCCTACATATCATAGATCAAATGGAAGAGATTTTTCGCTCATTTGGTTAAAAAATTAACAAGATATAAGGCTCGAAAGTAAACCTAATGAAAAGAAAATGACACTTGAATGACATAGATAATTAGAAAGATCCAAAAGTCAAATCCAAATTTTGTCAACACAGCTATTATAGAATACAAAGTTAAAAGAGCTAGAGAACACAAATCTTTTGCGAGTCAGTTTATAAAATAAAGTCTCCCCATGATAAATTATTTGAGAGGTACAAGGCTAGACCCGTAGCTCAAAGGTTCACTCAACAATATAAACTAGACTTATGAAATATTTAGTTCAGTGGCAAAAATCACTACTATATCGGTCTTGCTAGTACTTGGGATAAGTAAAGATTAAAAATTATGGCAAATGGATGTGAAGAATGTTTTCTTACACTGAGAGTTGGATTTGAAGATCTACATGAACCAATAGAAGGAATTTGAGAATTCAATTGGAGTCATGAATCAGTACATGCAAAGTCTGAACAAGCCTCGTTTGGATGCACAAATCTTGAAATATGTCACAATTGACCATGATCTTTTGTGCAAAAGATGTGAAGACTACAAACTAACTTGATACTATGATGTTGACTATGCAGCAGACCACGATGCCCGAAGATCAACCACTTGGTATGTGTTCAAGCTCGGTTAGGAAAATATTTATTAATGAAGCAAAAGACAACCAATAATATTATTTTCAACTATAGAAGCAAGCGTAGTACATAGCAGCAAGTGGAGAAACTCAAGAAAGTATATGACTAAAAATCATGATTTGCACCAGAAAGTTGACTATCTAATATCACTTTATTGTAACAACTAATTTGCGGCTCATTTAGTAGACAATTTGATGTTTCACGCTAGAACAAAGTATGTGAAGGTGCACTACTATTTTATTTAGAGAGAAAATCTTTGACAGAAGAATATGCATGACCACGTGGTAGACTTGTCTACAAAAGGGTTGAGTACTCGTAAATATAAGGGATATTGTTGTTAACTGAATATGTTGCAACGAATGAGGATAGTGTTGAGAGAGTGTTAAAATATCATCATTATCACAATTTTTATATAGGGGGGGTGTAGCTCATATGGAAGAGCGCTCGCTCTCGGATGCGAGAGGCACGATATTCGATTCCTAGCACCTCCATACGAAGGATGAAGATGTTTTAGAAAAATTATGGTTTTGTTTTAGAAAAATAATATAAAATATTTGAAAAATGGTAAATGACCAAAATACCCCTGAAAAATATGGATAATTATGAAAATGTCATTTTGCCCAGATTGGCGAGGATATTTTCGAAATTACGACAATTTTGGAGGTTTCAACATCCATGTAAGCTTATCCTATAAAGCAGGAAGTTGGAGCAATAATATGGAACACGAATCAGCAAGGTCGAGCTCCCAATGGCAAGCTATAAACATTTAGATTTTGGGTCTCCTACTCTCGATTTTGTTCCAAATTCATAAGCAATTTTCCACCATTTCCTCTCAAAATTGTTCCTAATTTTATAAACAAGATTACCCACATTTAGGAAACAAGAGTACAAAATATAATCGAGACAAAAAGCATAAAACTGGTGGAGGCTCTTAATCATAGGTTTGCTCTCTATGTCACCTACTCCAAATTTGCTCTCGTCCTTCGCCATTGTTTAGTCATTACTAGAAAAATATGTAAAATGAGAGTGTGTATAAAATTCAATGAGAAGCCTACTTGTATGCTCTAATCATGTCCATGGTTGATGCTAGGGTACCATACTCTAAACTTGACAATTAATCATAAACATAGTTTTTTTTTCTCTAAGGACCTCGGTCCTAGGTTTTGAGTAACGGATTTTGAGTTCATAAAGCTTGATTAGTCTGATGCCTAGTCCAAGCTTACGAACTTGCATGATCCCTTGTTCTTTGACAGGTTAAAAGAGAGTGGACCCCACAAGACTGTCAATTACCACTCTACACACAATGCAAAGTACTAATTTTGGTCCTAAAACAGTCTCTCTCGAAGACCTACTAGGTAACATGGTTAGTAAACCATAGAATTTAAATTCAGCTTCATGGTTGCCCTGGCAACCAAAATGAAGAAAACATGAGATCATGATGTAATGTATAGGATGACTTAGGACATAAGGCAGGTCTAAGTAGAGTGGTACCTAACCGTTTAGGTCTCCTTATAGGTTAGGGCTTAAAATTATCTCTCTATAAACCATAAAATTATGTGTAGATAATAGAATATTTGTGTATGGTGGGTGTAGCTCATACGGTAGAGAGCTCGCTTTGCATGCGAGAGCCACGGGATTCGATTCCTTGCACCTCCATGATTTATTATGAAGCTACATGGTGCAACGTTCATGTGAGGGGCACAAGGTTTTTCTCTCTTGGACTTTTTTACTAAACTTGGAAATGGCGACTTTGATGATTCAAAAGCTTTAGGCCTACTATTTTCGATTGTTGAGCAACTTTTGTAAAGTACACTCGGCCATTTGATTTTTATACTATTTTATTTTATATTCTTCTCGAGTATATTTTAAGCATTTTTCTCTTTTACCACATCTTGAATTGAACTCTTAAAATATTTACTAAAGTCATTGGATTTAAAAATAAAAAGGAAAAGTAGAAGAGTTCGTACCTATCAAGTTTAAGTATTACAACTGGTTTCGTAAATATGGGTATAGCTCACACGGTAGAGCTTTCACTTCACATGCAAGAGGCACAATCAGTTCAATTATCTGCACCTTCATGATTTATGATTTGTTTAGAATATATAATAAATTGATTTTGGCCCCTATGATTAACTATTTTTCTTGAAATTAAACTTCTGAGTAATAACTAATCGATTTTAACCCTATGATTTACTATTTTTCTTGAAATTAAACTTCTTAATATCTAATCGATTTGATGTATTATTTTTAAATTTTATATCATATAAAGAAATTAATTTCAATTACAAAAATTTAAAATTTAAAATAATATGAAATGCATAAATGGAGTAGCGCATATGATCACTTCGCATGCGAGAAGACATTTAATTTCATATACATTTATTACTAGACTTAATCATGGTTGAAAAAAAAAAAAATACAATGTCATGGACCATGTCTATTAATCATACACATTGTCTATTATAGACTTTACTCAGTGAAATATACCCCATTTAATAAATTTATTATCTATTAGTTTAGTAGTCAAATTACAAATCAAACCAACTTTACATAAATTTCTAATAAATTTCTTAGCTTACAATATTTTAGGTTAAATAAAATTTTATATTTTATAATTCATAAATTAGAATGCATCAAATATGTCTATTAACTCTTTAGACACAAAATTATACACCAAAATAAACTTAAAAAATGGTTAGAATCAATCTTCAAGTTTTTTAAGGAAATTGATTGGAGGCTCAAATCAAGCTTCTAAAAGCTACATTTTGTGTTTTGTGTTTTTTAATTTTTAGTAAAGCAAGAAAATAAGTATGAACAAATTTTCGTTCTAAATTTATTCCCAGAAAAACTAGACACTGGCTTAATTTGAAACGCATTGTTCTTCCTCCAAATTCAGATGAACATTTGAAGCGCCAATACCTAAAACAGAAAAGATTCGCAGTTCACAAAAAGGAAATTGAATCTCCAAAAAGAAAAACGAAAAAGATAATTAATACAGTTCCCTATAAGGCCATTTGGTAAAGTGCGAAGCAAGAAATCCAAAGAATTCCAATTCCAATTGTGAATCAAAAATTCAAACGGAAGAAAAATAAATTCACAATTGTCGAAGAAGATTGATCGTATGCACATCAGCTCTTTGATTAAAGTTAAGAACACATTAAAGTAAAGCACACAAAGCTAACAAAACCTAAATTCCAGATCTGAACACCTCGACCACGTTTCTTCATTTAATTTAGGATTCATCCTCACCACCAGACGCCTTGGAACTACCAGCCTTCTTTGGCAATAGCAGATTGTGAATGTTAGGCATAACACCGCCATTCGCAATCGTTACGTCTCCAAGAAGCTTGCTCAGCTCTTCGTCGTTCCTCACAGCAAGCTGGATATGGCGAGGCACAATTCTAGTCTTCTTGTT